CGGGGGGACGAGCTCGGGCAGCACCGGGCTTGATGCAGGCGGGAGATGGGGGAATATTGGGGCTTGGTGGTCATGGGCTCGCTGTTGGGCACACGGGGAGAAGGTGGGAGAGCAAACCCACGTCACTTCTCGCAGAGGCTCTGAGAAACTCCCGCCCCATGGCAGACATCCAGCAGTGGGGGGGACATCCCGGTCTGAGGAGACCTCGAGGTGGGGCAGCGCTGGTGGCTGTCAGGCGTGGGGCTCAGATTTGGATCTCGGCTAGCCCGGAGCTCAAGAGCTGAGGTCTTCTGAGGGAGACGGGCACAAACTCGTGCAGCCCGATGATTTTTCTTGACTCTCGGCGAATGGTCTGGTTTGAAACCAACACGTGTCTGCTCCCAAACTCATCCCCGTGCCTCTTTCAAGCCTCCAAAAGGCTTGAAATCTTCATGATCTCAGCATGCCGTGGGGTTAATCTCAGGCCTGGGAAGGGGAGGATGAGGAGGCTGGGCAGGGAACGGGCTTTTACCTGGGACAACAGTGCGTTGGGTTCCTGACCTTGGTGTCCATCCATCAGAGCAAGGGCAGGAGGAGGCCGCCAGGTCAGCGGGCTCCACTCTGACCCTGCCCTACATCCATTTACACACAGGCTCCTGGATAAAATAGCCGGGACCAGACAAGGACACACTGGGGCTTTTGATGGGAAAAAAAGTGAGTGGCCGAGGGGAGCTTTAAAGAGGCATTGACCCTGAGTGGAAACCCGGGTGAAAAATGACTTTACTCCCATCCTCCTGCTCAGAGCATCTTTTTTTCCTTCACTGCCATTTATTTTGCTTATGCAATCAGATGTTAATGCTTTGGCGTGCAGCGGAGTCGCTTGCATTTTAAGGTCAAAATCCCTAAAGTTTGTAAATCGTAGTCCTTTAAAAAGATCAGATGCGTCGAAATAGTTTATACATGCGGAGCCTGGTGAGAGCAGACTGGGAATTTGGCTGGGAGATGAACTCTGTGATCTTGGCCTCTTTAGCCATTTGCTGGCTGGCTTTCTCTCAGGCTTCACGTCCGTTGGTGCAACCACCTAGCGCAAGTGGGGTGGTGGGTTTTGGGCAGATCCTCCTTAGCATGAAGCCCCTATAGAGATGCAGCGTTGGCTCTCGGCAATGTCAGGGTCATTATTATCCTCTTGTCTTTCTGAAGTCCTGTCCCCAGAGATGTCAGGGAGCTGGAGGAAGAACAGGGGTCTCGTTTTGAGAAACTGAGTCCCCAGATCCCTCCTTGCTTTGGAACGCTGCAGCCAGATGAATAGATGTCCCTCTCTGCCTTCCCACTGTGCAAGGCAAATTACTTATCTCTGCTCTACAGATGCTGGTGACATAATTTTCCAGAGCAACTGCAACTCCTGTTAGTATTTAAAAATCAAACCATAACACCCTGCCTGGTCTCCCAGGAGGAAAATCAAATGCAGTTCCCTGTCAGTGCAGCGGCAGCAAGAGGAGGACATGGCATCTAGGCAGCAAACTGCACGTGGCAGCCGTGTCGATGAGGCTTTAATGGGTGTCATAAAAACCATCCAGCAAACAGAGTCTGGGATGCAACACCGTGGTCGCCTGGCCCCTGCTGCTGCGCTTGCTTTTCGGATTAAAACCCTGAAATTTCTAAACCGAGCTTAGGTGTAACAGCTGGGTTTGGTGCTGGCTAATGCTGCTTCCCATACATTTCTTCTGAGCCCGTGTGTGTGCACGCATGCATGCGTGTGTGTGCTTTGTGGACAGCAGGAGGTACACAAAAGGAGACATTTTATTTGTGCAAGATTTGATTAAAATCTTGGAAACAGGTTTCAGATGGCAGTGAAAGCTGAAACCAGAGGAGCTAAGCCTGGGTTGCTTTTGTTACCGAAATTCTGCTTGGCTGTGACCTTTATGCATCCCAAACTGAAGGTGAAGGACTTGTCTGCAGGCGCTGAAGAACATCACTGGGGCTGGATTCTCCTCCCTGGGAAGTAACTCCCCTGCCCCCAGCAAAGCTGCATCGGGCAGAGCCAGGTAAAGCCCATAGTGCTCCCCGGACACACAGAGATTAACAAAGAAAATTATATTTAAGTAAATTCAGTTCCTCCAAAGCGGCACAGGCAGAATTTACATTAAAAACTGCCTGTCCCCCCACCTCTTTCAGATCACACAGCTAAGACCTGTCCACAAACATGTATGCAGAGCTTTACAAACAGGTTTAGTTTTACACGTTCGAGTTTTTCTATAGATGTGGGACACTGCTGACTAAAACAAGGCTTCTGCAAGCGTTAGCAGGCTTGGGGCTTTTTGGCTGTTTTGTCTTCTGAAGAATTTTTAACTAGTAGCTACAGTCTAGCAGGAAAAAAAGTAGATGATGTTTCAATCCTAAATCTGCCGAGTACAATGTATTTTGAAGGAGAAGCCTTGAAATGCACATTTTGGTTTATTTTGGTATTTAAATAGAAACCCTCCTCTGGCACTTTGCTTTTTAAATTTTTTTTCGAAATCTGAAAACAGACTGTTTGCTTCTCCAATGACCTCTCCCTGGGGATCACTTTTAAGTCTTCCCTGTTTTGACATATTGTTTGTGCAGAGCTCAGCGTTCACCTCACTAAACCGAAACCTTATCCCCCGCTACTGAAAAATTGATTCGCTGGGTATGTGCAAACCCAACCCCATGAATCCTGCAAGAGAAAACAGGAGGGACCGGTGATAGGTACTCGCTTGTATTGCAGATAAAAATACAATCTTGCACGCACCTCACCTTGCCCTGTTGCTCTTTGTTGCTTGCTTAAGGAAGTCATCTCCACACAGGTTTTTGCGAATGATTCAGTGTAAAAATTGGGGTTAGAAACGTTTTCTTACCCTAACTCTGACTCATCTTCCCATAGCACCCGGGAGCAGTGAACTGCCGTTTAACCAGCCAGCGGAGGGGAGCAGATTCCTGGGTGGTCCCTGTAACCACAGAGCACAGAAAGCAAAGCATTAGAATGTAACATGAGGATGAAGGGAAAGGGGCACTGAACCACTTTCTCCCAGTGTTATCTCAACGCAGCAGATGGAGAACAGAGATAGTGAGGCTGGCTGCTCATTTTTCCGTGCCCTCTCCAGCCAAATCCAGTAAATAATGAAGTGTAATTTGCCAAATAGCCTTTGAATGTATTATTTGCTTCCAAAGGTCCTGATACTTCCACTTTGGCAGGCGATCCTTGATTTATGCGGTGGGGCTAGGGGGAATGGGGTCCCGAGAGGCTCGGTGGCGGGAATTTCACTAGTTCTACCTGAGCAAAGAGTCGTGCAAATCATCACTTGAGTGCCGTGGTGATTAGCGTCAGAGAGAGCTGCCAATAGAGAGGGTGATTTTGCATGTCTTTTACTTGGGGATGATATCTGGAAGGTGCAAAGATGGACACAGAAAAGTTGCTCTGTTTGGCTTGGCGGTGGAATTGCATTTGGTGCATCCAACGGATGCTTTTGGGATGCTTTTGCAGGGTGGGTGATTATTGACCCAACTTCCAGATTCCCGCTTGCAAAACAACCCCAACATTGTGTTGTTTGGGCTTGAAAAGATGCCTGTGAGTTTGGCTGTGGAGGACCTGAGTGGAGCAGGAACCCCAGACTGGAAAGCAGCGTTGTTGCACTGGGCTGCCCGTGCTCGGCGGCTGCAGCGCTGTCTCCAGCCGTTGCATTAGGGGTGCACTCAACGCTGATGGAAAGAAGTGCTTACCAGCACTTTGCAGGTGTAAAGGCTTATTAAATCAGAGCTTAAATTAATTGAGAGCAATGGTCAGCCGAGGTGGCTGGGGTTTCCACAAAACAGAGAATTCTTTGATTTTTTGATGCCTACATCCTGACATTCATGAAAACACCAGAAGAGCTTGTGCATGTTGTCATTTTTCCACTGAGAACAGTTTTCATTGAAAAATTTCCAGTAGGCTACAGTGCTAAACTAGCCTCAGGTGGAAGATTTACATACGAGACCGATAAAGTTCAGTCGTTTGAGATGGCGGTTGTATGAGGTTTTCCTTCTCTGTGAAAGTTGTTTTTCAGGAATGCCTGAAAACCTTTATTCAGATTGAGGAGGGTTTTGTTGTTTTGTTTTTGTTTTTGTTTTTTTTTTTTTTTAAAATAGTTGCTTTTGTTTATGAAACTCTTTGGCTACAAATACCTGCCTCCTTCCAAATAAATTAGAAAAAAGAAAAAAAAAAAAAAAAAAAAAGAAAAGAAAAGAGCTTTGCTTCTCATCAGGACTTACTCCAAGGCCTGGCTCTTGGCTTGGGCCCGCGCTCTCCCATGGGGGCGGCTGAGCATTGTTCACTGACTCACCCCGAATCGCGTCGCTCCGTGCTATGGGCTGTGCATGATGTAACTTTGTGCTAATGTGGGATTTTCCAGCTCTTTGTTTTCCCTCCCTCCTCGAATGGTTTTTCTGCCGGTTCTCCATCCTGCCTCAGCCTTTTCCAGGATTGCCCCTGATTCTTTACAATTAATTTCTTCTTTTTGTTTTTCTTTGGAGCAGGATGCCCAGAGGTAGAGCAATAATTCAGAGGTGCTTTGTTCCCTTCTTTCTTCTTCACCCTGGTGAGGGACTCTCTACCTTTGCTGGAGCTCTCAGCTATCTCCCAGGCTCCAGACGCCACCTGGGGTGCTGAAGCCCAGCAGGCTGATGTTTGGAAAGGTCTTTGATATCACCATCAAATTTCCAGTAGCACATTCGTGGTTGGCTTGTAGGGAGACCATGTGCGCCATGTAACCTAGCCTACCAGACATGCCTTGTTTATGCCCTTTAAGTACAGCCTTATTATAAGCACAGGATTCTTTTTCTTGTATTTAAGAAGCCTCCTTATGGCCTTGCAGGGATTAGATGTAGGGTTAGAGTGTCTAGGTATGAAAATTGCAGAAGGAAAAAAGATTTCTCTGTTTTTCTGACAACTCAACGGCCAGCACAGCTCCTGTTGTCTTTCCCAGTCCCGTGTCCTTATGGTTCTTTTTCTCTCCTGCTTCTTTCAGATATGGAATGTGCGGATGTGCCTTTATTAACTCCCAGCAGCAAAGAAATGATGTCTCAGGCATTGAAAGCCACCTTCAGCGGCTTCGCCAAAGAGCAACAGCGGCTGGGGATCCCCAAAGGTAAGACGTGTTTTCCCACTGAGCAACCGTGGTAGCCCCAGATTGTGCTCTCCTGCCAGACTGCCCTTCTCCACATCTGCTATCTCTTTTGTTGATTCTCTTCATGTAGTATTGTCTTGTTTCTTGGTAGCTTTAGCGGGAAAAAACTGGACATGCAGGCAAAACCCTTCAGTACCACTTGCCAACTCCACCCGTCTGACAGATTGTGCCTGGCTGTCCCGCTGACCTCTGCTGCGTGACTGCTCTTGCAGCTCTGGGGACCTGCTCTGGTGGAGGCAGCTCCAGGACTTATATTTGTGGGTCATTTCCACTCTACAGAGAAGCAGCAGGGACCGTTTACCAGAGGCTGATGACAGGGAGAAATCAAGCTAAATGGAGAAACGGGTGGGAAAAGGGGCCAGAAAGCTGATGGAATCGTTAAAAGCCCCAAACAAATCCCAAACTTGCTCCTTGTATGAGATTTGCAAATATGACTGATCCAAACTTGTAGGCATGGTGTTCCCCCCTCATGTTGTACCCTTACGCCAGTGGGCTGCTGGTCTGTATGGGATGAGGCTGTGCAAGTGCAGTGCAGCTGCAGCACCGCCTGTGTCCTGTTTTCCTGGGGAAATGGCTTGTGGTTGCTCATTCAAGGGTGTCTTCTACACCCCCCTTGCTGCAGATCCCCAGCAGTGGACGGAGACGCACGTGCGGGACTGGGTGATGTGGGCGGTGAACGAGTTTAGCCTGAAGGGAGTGGATTTCCAGAAGTTTTGCATGAATGGAGCTGCCCTCTGCGCCCTGGGCAAGGAGTGCTTCCTGGAGCTAGCGCCTGACTTTGTGGGAGATATCCTCTGGGAACATCTGGAGATCCTGCAGAAAGGTGAGTGCTGGAGCCTCCAGGGTGAATGGCTCACGCTGTCCTGGCTAGCCTGACTTTGGGCCTGTCCAAAGACCTTGGCTCACAGTCTGGCTCTGCAATTAGGTGTTCACCTTGGGCATTAATCCCAATAAAAGCAACTTTCAAAGCCCAACTTTCCAGTCGGATTTCAAACGGGCATCCACCAGTAGTGGGCAATGCAAATCCTGGCACTGCTTGAAAGAGGAAGAGTGTTTGCCCTGGCCGCTTGGCAGGAACCCACAGTGGGCAGGGATGCTCTGCCTGCCTGGAAATTATGGTGGGATTTTCCAAAGTATTCTTCCACAGCTCGTTCAGCTCCTGTTGTGAATTTTACTACTTCCTCTGGTAGAACTGGGTACAACAATGCTACCAAAATCCCACCCAGTTGTGATTGGAAGCTTTGTTTCATGTCCCGAAAGGTGCGGTGGCATTTTGCTAAAAGTGGCTGCATCCCCCCCAGGAGACACTCTCTCTGCCGGTCCCTGCATGACAACATTCAAGGGCATTAATTTCCATTGACTGTTGGACACACACGTTGATTTTGGGTGTTGATTTTCATAGCGTCTGGATGCTTAAGCAACACTTAACATGGGATGGTTTCAAAAGAGCAGGTGAAGAGCTTATCACCTTTAGCTGAGCCACGAGCAGGAGCAGCAGCCAATATGGGCTCTTTCTCTAGCTCCTTTCTGTGCAGAGCTATCTGCTTTCCTGGAATATCCCTTGCGCTGTCTTACCAACTCTGCGTGCTTGTCAGCGGGCCTGTACTGGTGGCAGGAAGGGGAGGGGGAGCAAAGTTATGCCTTCCAGGAAACCATTGACAAATGGATGTTAATTGCTGATTACTAATTTTACTGCTACCTGTGGTCTGTGAAAGGTAAACACGGCTCTTCCCAGGGTCTGTGGATGACAGGCTGTTTTTCTGCTCTTTGACTCTATATCTGTTCTGTTCTTCTCATTTTGCATAATTTTTATTGAGTGCTTATATCAACAGCAAGCAGCTTAACCAAACAAAGCAAAACATTGTGGTCAGTCCAATTTCTCCTTGGTATAAGCCATTGCTTGTAACGTAGCTATGCCTTCCCGCAACCCTTCTTCATTTGTTTGGGCTGTAACCCGCTGGAGAGGGGTGCAGTGTGCTCCAGGTAGTGACCGAGGCATCAGAGCTGGGTTTGCTTCTTCCTGCAGATTCCTCAAGGCAGAGAGATAAACTTGGTGCTGTAGTTTCACAGTAAAATAGGGACCATGTTTCCTCATAGCGTTGACACATGCAGGTGGTAGGATGCTGCAGTCATGAGGATGCAAAAGGCCTGAGACAGAGAGGAGTTTTTATAAAGAAGCTGGAAATCTTTGTGCCTGTTGCAGCTTTTCTGCCAAAAGGGTGAAAAAGAAGAAAGCTGAATTTCTTCATCTCAACACTGTTGGCTTAGCCCTGGAAACCAAGAAATCTCTGTTCTGTGTTCAGTTTTACTGGTGACTTTGTCAATTCTTACATAAGCTATCTAAGCCTTAGCTTCTATGGTGGGTTCTTAACACATTTCTGAGAAGGGCAGTATCTGTGAAGTGTTTGGAGAGTAACTAAGAAGAGTTTCCAAGAAATATCCAGCATCATCCCAAGGACTAATTTCTGTTCCCTGTAAGTCATGGGACTCGTGTTACTGGTAGTACATCTCCCAGCCCCTGATAAGATCTGGGTTCTGTTGCACTGGCGCTGGACAAACGTAACATGCAAAATTGTCCCTGCCACACCTCTCCCCACGGAAGAGGAGATGGGTGTCTCCGCTTTGCAGCTGAGGATGTGAAGTGTGAAGAGATCAAGGTTTCCCCAGGCTCGACCATGGAGTCAGGGTCCCGCTTGCCAGGCCCTGTCTCTTCCGACTTCCCCAGCCACCCACCACCATCACATGGGGGGGGTGGTGGTTAACCCCAAAATCTTTGGCTTTACCTACAGCGGTGTGACCGCCGGCATCGGGTCACGCTGGGACAGGCTGTGACCTTGCTGTCCCCGCAGCTAACATGCCTCCCTTGTGAGCTCTTTCTGAGAGTGACTCATGTACCACAGGCTGCTCGGGGTTTAAAAACGGCAGCAGATGGGTGACTTTTCCCTGCATGGATTTGGGTATTTTCAGGCATATTTTTCCAAATTTCTTCCTAAAATAACCTCTTCAGTTACCAGCAGTCAGCAGTGCCCTCCATTTGACTGTAAGCATAGCTGAAGGTTGCTCTCTTTCTCTGTGGTCACCCACCCTGCCCCTTGGCAGACACCGTGGGGAGAGGAAAAGATCGTTTCTCATTAGGTCTCTCCATTTGCACAAAACCTCCTTTTGTTAGAGAATATTTTCCACCCTGTAATCCCCAGGAGAGAGGGCCAAAATTAGGCTCCTTGCAAGCGAACGTGCGTTATCTTCAGTTCGCTTCTCTTTAGCTTCAGCAGAAATAAACATAACCCAAAGTTGTCTGTGTGTTTTTTATTTTGGTTACCCTTTGCAGAGAAAATAAAATCTCCCATGCCGGTATCTCTGCCCACATGCCGTGCTGGAATGAGTAAGGTGTTAATGGAAAAACTGGTCAGGGTAGGGGCAATGTGGCTTTTACATGGGAAAGCAAATTCAGCGCCAAGCCCAGCAGTACCAAAGTGCTCAAAAAAAGCAATGGAAAGCAGAGAGTCTATGCTTTGATGTGATACATGCTCTTTCTCAGTGAATTATACCCTTAGAAAGGCTAAAATTTTGCATGCTGCCTATACATACCTGGTAGAGTCTGTATCAGGAGTTGGGTGACAGAAAGTGCGTCAAAGCTTTTTTGAGCATGGGATCTTCTTCCTGCATCAGGTGCAAGGTAAAAGGTGCTGTGTAGGCTGGGAATTAGCATTAATTTTGGGTTTAGAAGCTGGTTTTGGTATGCATTACCCACGCACTTGCACATACGGACTGCTGGTCTAAAAATAGGGGCTTTTTCAGGAAAACAACTGTCCTTGTATGGTGGAGTTTTTTCACAAGCTCGTACATGTAAGCATGATAAGCAATCCTCAAGAGAATGAAAGGCGACAAAAATTAAGGCAAGCAAGGAAATTATGCAATGAATGTTTCAGAACCACCTGGAGCCTCTGATTGAGAAAGTTGTTGCTGTTTTGTTTTGTTTTGTTTTGTTTAAATTTGGGCATGCCTGCAGCAAGAATTCCCAGAGGAACCCACGTGCATCAGGCGCTTGTTTCAGTGGGATTTTAGCTCCTAACTAATTCCTGTTCCTTTGAGCATCCCAGTTTAACCCAGAGAGGAGCATTTTAGGAAGTTCAGACCTCTCTGTATTACAGCAAGTCTTGCGAAGCACGGTATGCCTATGGACATGTGACATTTCCTTCCTTTCCTCTTTGCAGAAGAGGTAAAACCGTACCCAGCAAACGGAGTGAATACAACATACCCAGAATCCCGCTATACTTCAGACTACTTCATTAGTAAGTCTCAATTATCAGTATCATTCTGGTGCTTCCAGACATGAAAGTGCCACCTACTAGAGATTTGTCTGCGTCACGTGAGGGCTGCACCACGCAGTCGTTGCTCTGTCGTGGCAGAGCATGCAAAGTGTGTAATTTTGCCCTTCCTACTGGTTTGGCTTTATTTAGAAGCCATCTGCATTTTTGGTGACTGCCTTGAGATGCCATAATCTGACTTTGCAAGCACTGTTTGTTTGAAGCTGTAGCTCAGCAGACCTGAAAAGTGACCTCAACACTCCAGAACACGGGGACTTTTTAAAAAACTGTTTAAAAAAGGGAGGGGAAGAAGGCTTAATTCGGGATTGCTAAGTAGGAGCCTAGCAAGGAAGGGGATGAGTCATCATCAGTCTGGACTCCTGCACTTCCCATTGCCATTGCTTTGGAGATGTTCTTTAAGGGCGTTTGAAATCTGTGATGTATTTTCATGAACCAGCAAAAGGAAACAGCTCACCTGAATTGAGACTCCAGGCTCTGGGCAGTGAGGAGAGATGACTGTGGAAGTGACTCATCTATTACAATCATCAATGAAACCTTTTTGGCCTGTATCTCCTTTGCTGAGACTACACTCTTCATGATTTTCCAGCTTTTTCCCACTAGCAGCTTGCTTGAGAGGAGTTTGGCGTGATGCACTTTGGTGACGGTTGAGGATGTGTTATTTTTTTAAATTGCTGCAATTATAAGACACCATCTCTCCGTAGCTTTCAGAAACCTTACTCAAAATTGGTGCCCAGTTGTGCCAGGTGTTTTATATCCCAAGGCAGTCTGCTCTTGCACTGCAGACCTCAACTCTCACCGTGCTGTGGGAGACCGGAGGGGGAGCGAGCAATGCTCTTGGTTTGTTGGAGCTTTGTGTGTGGGTTCTTTCTGACGGTCCCGTTCTGCCGGCAGGTTATGGCATCGAGCACGCCCAGTGCGTGCCTCCCTCTGAGTTCTCCGAGCCCAGCTTCATCACAGAGTCCTACCAGACCCTCCATCCCATCAGCTCGGAAGAGCTCCTGTCCCTCAAGTACGAGAACGATTATCCCTCGGTCATCCTGCGTGACCCAGTGCAGACAGACTCCCTGCAGACAGACTACTTCACGATCAAGCAAGAAGTAGTAACGCCAGATAACATGTGCATGGGACGTGCCAGTCGAGGTAACGTTGGGCATCTCCAAGGGTTTGCTTGGGTTATTGCTATTCTGCGTATAACAACCGAAGTGCTGCCTTCCCTTCTGTAGGAGGTGGTGCTTTGGGGGCACCCAGGCCATCAGGGAGCCCTGCAATGCCGGTAACGAAGCCGTTTCCCAACATATATATCTTACGGGCTTGAACTCCCAGATGGATTCCCTGATGGCTTTGAGCCCTCCCTGCCTTTCTCTCCAGGGAAAACACGACGAAGGTCTTTCTTTCCTCAACTCTGCTGCCTGTTTTTACAGCATCTGCAAAAATATAGCATGTCTGGCTCTGTACTTTGATGTCGAACTTGAATGAAGTTGAAATAGGCTTTAAGGTTATTAGAGAGGACAGACTGCTGTGTGGTTGTATAAGTCCCATTTTCCTAGGAGACCGGGCAAAACCCCACAAATTCTTCACAAGGTCGCATCAGGAATTACTGTCCAAGGCTCTGAAGGGTTTTACACTTGATGATCCAGAGTCTTTATCCATAATGTCTATTGATTTTGATGGCTGTTTGCTTGAACTGACAGTCTGTCCCCATGGACCCAAGCCCTGTGCTCTGTTAGGAGATGCCGATGTCATGGGTTCAGTCAGTGACAGAGCTGAAGGACCCCCTGAACCCCTGTGCTACGACCCTACATCTCCAAAGCGTTATAGGTACATGGTTCCTGTTTGAGATGATGGGATTTAAACACCTAAACACTTTTGAGGATCTGAGCGCAAATACCTTTTCAATTAATATTATTCAATTCTGAACACATGGGGCCCAGGAGCCTGACTACTTTATAATTACATTGCTTAACGCAAGGCTGAGGGTCTGGCTCACAGTGTATATTCAAAGCAAAAGTTTAATCCATAGAGCTCAAAGTCACTTAGAAAGGGGTATCATTATCTCCTGATTCCAGGTAGGGAACCTGAGGCACAGGGAAGAGATCTGACCTGCCTGTGATTGCGCCCTGAATAGAATCCAGGTGTCCCCATGCCTAAAATTCATTAGAGTAACGTGTTGCTGTGAGCCAGGTTTGATGTTGAACATTTAAACCCATTCATGCAGCAACGAGAGCTGAAGACGGGCTGGTTCCCTGTGAAAGCTGGAGCCCCTTTGCAGGGCTGCATCACGTACGCGTTGCTCAGTGGAGCTCATTTTAAGTTTCTCATTCTTATTCCAAGCTGGGAGAGCTAATGACAGGAAAGTTGTTATTTGTATTATTACCTCTGCTTCTGCTGCTGGCTGAGTGTTAATGTGAGAGGTGATTTGGACGATACGGTGAGCCAAAAGCACAGCATTGTTATAATTTTAGGTAAGCTCCTCTTTCTGGGCTTGTTTTTCTGGCTATCTTTCATCAGTGTCTTTCCCTTTTCTTGACCTTTTCTTTAACATAGGTAATTTCATAATGATCGTCATTGAAATGCAATGATTCAGGCCTGCTTTTGCAATTGTACCTGGAGCCTGTTCTCACTGGCAAGCCTAAAAAGGCTCTAGGGGGGGGAAGAAAGAGCCCTTAGCTCAGCATTGGGGACCAGGGGCCTCTGGTGTTAGCAAACACTTCAACATATTAATTGCAATTGAAGAAATGCAACAGGCTATGGCTGCGCTTACACTAATACTACATTGCAGCCGTGTAGAAGGGCTTTTGGGTGGCATTAATCCTTCCAGAGCAGTATAAAGAAGCCTTAATATAAAGCAGAGTCCAGTTTATTTATATTTACGTACGTTCTTACCTTCCACTTTATTAAAAGGTTATTCTGCCGTGAAGTCAAGTGCCTCAGCAGTGGGAAATTCAGGATGAAGGTTTTCCAGACAGTCACCTTTTGCCTTTCTTTGTGTGGCTTTAGGAATCAATTTTGTGGTCCCACAGGAGTTGTTTGACTTTGCCTTATCAGTGAGGGCGTCTGGTTGGAAAGTGTAGCTGCCAAATTCTTAACAAGTTTCTCCTGACTAGGTACAAGGCGTGATTTTCCAAAGGCTCACATTTAGGTCAAATTTAGGTGAATTTTCAAATAAGTGACCCGAGTCACGTCTCCGACACTGTGGCTGTTCATCTGGCAGATTTTAATTCCTTTCCTAAACGAGCTTGTGCTGCAGGACTTCTCAGCGAAGTGGTTATGCCAATTAAAGAACATGCACAAAGCGGTGCTCATTTTCCCCTTGCAGGATTCAGGAAGTGATTGAAGTGTATTCTGTGAAATTCTCAAAAAACTGAAAAAAAAAAAAAAAAAAAGAATTTGAAGCATGGATATTACCAGCAGAATCAAGCCAATGGATCCAAACATCAGATGATTCTGGGCCAGCAATCAGGGCAGAGCCCACGGTAGTTGAGTCTTTTTGTAGCAAGTGCTCTTCAAACTACAACACAACAAATATTTGGGGGAGTGTGCCAGCGCCCTTCCACGTTCCTGGTCCCCTGTGATTTACTATCTGGGCCCAAGCTGCGGGTAGCTGTGCCAGTGGAAATTTCTCCAGGAGCTCTTGCACAATCCCAGCAGCTGTTTTTAGCCCGGTTTGGGAAATTAGTGAACTTGAATGATCCTGTTACGCTCTTAGTTTGTCAGTAAAGATGTTGAGCAATCGGCAACGTACGGGAGATCAGAGAGAGCAATTTCAGTTTGTTTTTTGGATCCTTTTTTAGTGCTTTAAGTACAGAGGGTATACTTACACTGTCTCTAGTGGGTGTAAATCAGCGTAGCACTGCTGAGGATCTGGCCTCATGTTCTGGTCTGTACTAAAAATACTCCAGAGAGTAGCCTTGATACAACCCAGCTGTGCTCACCTTACCAGAACTGGAAAAATAGCTGTTTGGGCTTTCAGCCTTTTGCTCTCCTCCTCCATTAAATCTGCTGCTGTTCGGGGATTTGGGGGTGGAAGCTGGTTGTAACATACGGCAATAAAAGGCTGCTGTATAGTTTTGCAGGAAACTTCAAAAGTAAAGAAGCTGGGTGTCCAGTGCCCTTGAACATGCCTGAGCAGCATTTATATAGGGCTAGCAGATATCATATGAGACTTAGAGGAGACCCGTGTCTTTCAGCAGCAAGAGCTCCTGGCACCTGAACTGAGCCTTGAATATCTGTTTAAAGTGGATTATTTCTCTGCCACTGCCTTTCTGAAACAGAGGACAACTTCCAGTTAGCCCCAGGCATCAGGCTTGGGTAGAGAGTCTCTGGGTTTTTCCCCTGACTCTGCCTTGCTTTGCTGCCTGAATTTCTCTGGGGCTTGGATAGCCGTGCTCTGAATTACAAAGATAACAGAAGTCTCCCAGTTTCAGGCCATACTTTCGAGTTTGTTTGGAGATGGTGGGACAGCAACATTTGCCTGGCTGCCTTTCTGCCCGCGCAGCAGGCAGGTGAAACATCCTTCTCCTGGCCGTGGCAACCTAAAGCATCCCTGTGCTGGCCAGGCACATCTCACATGCCCTTCCTTCTCGCCAGGTAAGCTGGGTGGCCAGGACTCCTTCGAGAGCATAGAGAGCTACGACAGCTGCGACCGCCTGACGCAGTCCTGGAGCAGCCAGTCCTCCTTCCAGAGCCTGCAGCGCGTCCCTTCCTACGACAGCTTTGACTCGGAGGACTACCCCGCCGCCCTGCCCAACCACAAGCCCAAGGGCACCTTCAAGGACTATGTTCGAGATCGGGCTGATATGAACAAGGACAAGCCTGTCATTCCTGCTGCTGCCCTTGCTGGCTACACAGGTAGGGTCATGCTCCTCAGGAAACAGCCTCTCAGCCGAGAGTCTTGGGTAGAGCCTCTCCATCCGTGGAGGGCAGAGCCTCCAGGGGTTTTGGGTTGCCCAACATCTGTACCGATGGCTCAGCAGTCTGTGAGTGAGGAGTTTTGGGGTGCCTTTGGGGTCAGCCACGTGCATGCCTCCCAAGGCTGCATGTCCTTCAAGCATGGGCATTCCAAACCTCGTGGAGGATAGAGGACCTGAGTGAGTGCCGGGCATCTGATGCCTTGTGTTTTCATTTACATCTGGATGCTTCCTGGTTGGGTCTGGCAGGAACCGCTCCCTCCTTTGTATTACTGAGAGCACAAGGTCGTAGAGAGCCCTCATTTCCCCTGCTGATAATTTTACACAACGTGCTGGCCAATTGCTGGTGGTTTCCCACCTCGGGGAGGAGCGGCTGCATTTCTGGTATTGCTGTGTGTGATGTGAAATGATCTTCTCCCCTTTTGACATGGAGGAAACACTTGGTTTTGCTCTTTACCTTGGTGCGAGGCAAGAATGGCGTGGGGCCAAAGCAGACCCAAACATTTTCCACTCCCTGCACTGGGAGATCTGAGAAGGTGATAGGCCATGGAAACTCCGGCTTTTTTCATGACAGCCCTCCAGCAATCTGGCATCTCCATGGAGAGAAACCTGGTGGGATGGGGCTTCCAGCTAAAACTGAGAGAATCCTTTCCAGTCCTTCTGTGCTGTGTCTTTTCCCTGTACTGTAAGTAAAATTCGCAGGGCAGACTCCTGCCAGTTCCCCTTTCCCTCGCACAAACTGATCTCTCCTGCCCCAGCTGGTAGCAGCTGTGGCCCAGAGGAGCCAAGCAGTGGAAATAGCTTGTGCAGATAAAGATCGTGAAAAGGTTCAGAGCAGATCCTGAGGTGCGACTGTCCCTGAAATCTCCTCCCACGCAGGGCTCATCTTAGGGCTGATATCTAGTTTTTTGTGAGGGGGGAAGAGATGCAGAGGGGAGGAGAGGTGGAGAGATAATTTTAGGAGCTCTGTGTAAAAAAGGAAGTGGTTTGTTACTATAACTTTAGGTAGAAAGAAAGCTCAGCCCTGCCTGCTGAATGAGCCTGTTTCGACCATGTCTATGCAAAATCAAAGTGTGCTCTTCTATTCCTGAATGGTTTTCGGCTGGGGGATGTGGTGGAGAGAGGCATGAGTGGTAGGAGGGGCTGTGCTGTGGGACACCATCCTCTGCCGTGACACAGAAGTTGATGTTCCTAAGAAAAGAGACCAGTGAGCACAACTTGGAATTTTTATTCCTATTTTCTCCTGATAACACTTTTCACTACGGCCTGTGGAAGTGTTTTGCGTACCTGGTGCCTGAGCAGGCGTGTTGGTTGCGTTTTAACAGCTGGGGAAACTGAGGCACGGAGGCGCTGGCGAAACTAGGAGCTTTGTTTTCCAAGCTGGATGTTTCCCTCCACGTTTGCTGCAGCTCATGGAAAAGAGCCTCCCCCGGAGAGAGGAGCCGAAGTCGGCGGCTGGACCCCGTGTTTTGCCAAGGAGTATTAGCACCCCAAAGAGTGTCCTTGGATTCGTGCCACCAGGAAGGGGAGACTTCAGTTAATGCAATGCCAGAGCACGCTTCCAAACGCTTTTTGCTGCATAACATTTTCCTTTGCCTCATTTCAAACCCCATTTTGAGCCGGGAGGATAATCCCTTGGCCCAGGCGTTTCAGTGTGATCAATAAGTGGGAGCGCCTGATATTTTTTTTTTTTTTTTTTTTTGCACTGCTTCCCTTGAGAAACTTTAAATGGGGAAAGGAAAATCAGAGGTTTCCAAAATCAGCAGTCCCTTGGAAATCCTTGGGCTGGAGCCCTGCTTACTTACTCCAAAGGCTACTAAGCAATAATTCAGTCCTCGGACTGCCACAGCCTGCATTTACCGTTGGGAACGATCTTTGGACAGATGATCTTTGCAGGCGTGTCACTCCAGAGATGTCTTCTGTCCCTTTTGAAAGCCTGCTGACCTGCCGGCACCTTGTTTTCTGTGCAAAGGGAGCTCAGCGTGGGTGCAAAGTGAAGCCAGGTTGCTGTGAAAGCAGATCACAGCGAGAGCAAGTGAGAACAGGTTGCATTACAAACTGTAGGAGAACTGGGCACTCTCGAAACTGCTCTGTGTTAATGTATTTCTGCAAAAAAAAAAAAAAAAAGAAAAAAAAAAATTCAGGCTGGTCGCTGAGAAGTGCTGGCCCCTCTTTCTTGGGCCAGCTGAGCAAGGGGTGTGGGGACTCTGAGAGAGAACTCCTAGGTTCTTCTTTTTTTGCTTTGCTTCACATTACTTTTGCTTTACTTGGGGGAGGAAGTGCTGTCTAGCATCTCGAGCAGAGGAACTTAGTCTGGGCTCTGCTTGCAGCTCTGGTGAGGAGGTGGAGCCTCCAAATGAGCAGAGCAGGGGGATTACCAGCCCAGGGTCCCAAAGTGGCCAGGACCCCTGCTTTCCTTTTCTTACTCAGATGATGCCTGGAGCACACATCCAACACCAGCCACCAGCCAGTGGGGCCCCCACAACGTGCCCTGGTGCACACCTTTTAGGCCTGGAAGGGTGAGCCTGGGAGATCACGTCCTGCATCTCCAGGGCGGCTCTCTGGGTTGACTTTAAGAACTTGACAATATTGTTCAGGTTTTGTTACCAAGGGCCTGTTTTGCCAGCGGCCCAGGGAGGTGGCACAGTGCTTTATCGCAGCCGCGGCACATCTCTGATGGTATCTGCCCAGAAAGGCACATGCTTTGGTGAGAAGGTGCATTTTGGCGGAAGCTCCATTTGTGTTTGATGTGTTCTTCACCCTGCTCGCAAGCAGCTTTTCAAAGCTGCGTTATCTGCCCCCACATCTTGACCTAATTTAACAAGTTGCCATGGTTGCTCAGATAGAGGTTGATGCAATTTTCTTATCTTTTTCGAAGGAGAAATGTAATTGCTTAGGAGTTGGTGAACTTCAGTTTCCATAGCTGCAGGGAGGGCCAGCTCTGGACACCTCTGGGTTTGGGGCCAGCTCTCTCAAACCTTGGCCAGCTTGAGTGTTACCTTAAGCCAGATTTTTTTTTTTTTTTGACATGACCTAGGAAATGGAGACAGAATAAATTCAGGCAAGCGATGTGTCAGGATGCATCTCCTCTGCAGGCTAAACCTCACTTTAGCTTAGCCGAGCTCGGTTGAAGACCCCTTGTTCATGCAACAGTGCAGTGTTTGGCGTGGGTGGGTGGCTCGTGCTGGGTGTGTGCTGGCCCATGGGCATCCATCCCTCCATACCCGAGCCCAGCTGGGCTAAATCAAGCTCAGCTTTGCCTCCCTGCCACCTGCAGCCCTGCCTGTGCCATAGCTGGATCCTGCAAGCCGCTGCCTCTGACGGGGACCATGGCCACCAGCATCCTTTGTGAGACCTGATGCCACGTGGCTAAACGCAGACGGTCTGTCTCCGAGAAGCGTGCAGCCCGTGCAGAGAGCAGGTCTTGAGAGTCTGACCACACCAGGCTTTGGCCTTGCTGCCCTATATTCATTTTTCCACTATGCTGACCTACTTGTGCTGCTGACCTCCTGGTGATGCAGGTCCAGCGGAGGTTCAGACCCTCCCTCTGCCCCCGTGGTTGGCAATAGCCACTCAGGGCTGGACTGGTTTTGGCTTTTCTTGAGCGCCCCAAAGCACCTGCGTGGGTTTATAGCCAAGATGTGCTGTTTGTTGGCTTTGTGGTACGTAGGACCTCAGCATCGTGTGTGCAGGCCGGGGCTTTCCATCTCACGGTGCTGTCTGCATTGCCGCAACACCAGAGCTGTGACGTGCTGAGCTGCTGCTCCCCATAGCTGAACAAGCAGAGCAGAGCGATTCCCCCCTCGTGTTTGAGGAGCAAAGGGAGGAAAGAGGGAGGAGAAAGGTGAAGTGAATGCACACCAAGCCTTGAGAAGCAAAGGGAGGAAAGAGGGAGGAGAATGGTGAAGTGAATGCACACCAAGCCTTGAGAAGCAAAGGGAGGAAAGAGGGAGGAGAATGGTGAAGTGAATGCACACCAAACCTTGAGCCCTCACCTGCAAGGCTGGTTTCTCATTTGTGATGCTCTCCTTTCTTATGGACCTGGTTAGGAAGTCACTGATGCCTTTATAGACAATCTCAGCACCAGGAGAGTTAATGCCCCTTTCCCAGCTAATGTCACACATGACCTGAGTGTCTCTCTTGGCAACACATTGATGCTATCTTCGTTATCATGTTGTCCTTAAGACAGAAAGTAGCGCAGGGAATAGCCACCTCTTGCAGATGCTCTCTCACCCCAGCACCCGGGAGTGCTTCTGTCTACCAAACAGTTTTGCCCAGGCCAGATCCAACCCTGATCCTTCTGATGGCGTTCACGTTGCCGTGTGAAAAGGGCCCAAATCTGCCTGCTAAACCCATCTGCCCTGTCTGAATTGCCTGCGGTGCAGAGCCTGAAGCATTCGACAAGCCTCCGTTTCTGAGCGATGCTTATCTGTGACACAGAAGTGAAAGGACGCAGCTGCTGTTTTGCAAGAAAGTCAAGTCAGTGCCAAAGAAAGTGGGTCTCTTTCAAGAGAGCTTGTGTGGTGCTTCTCCTCTTCTTGTTGCCTGTGCTGCTGGCCCGAAGCTTCCACCAGCGAGCTCCCCAGATGTGCTGTGGTCATTGGCATCTGAAAACCCACCAGCAGCTGCCTTCCCGGCCCCCCTCCCACCACGGTCTGGTGATCTAGCTGTCCTTGACATCCAGGCTCTGTGCAGTGGCTTTCCTAGAAACATCAGCATCCTTCCCGCCTGCTTGCTTGTGCTTCTGGAGAAATGTGCCTGTATGGGCATCCGTGGCCACTTGTAGCTTGGGTTAGGGGAATTTGGAGATGCCGCCAGCTGCCCCAGCAATCAGAAGCAGCACAACAGCACTTCTGTCCCCGCTGTGTGATGCAGGGGGGGTGCTGTTAGCTCGCTCCTCCTGGGCCCTACCCTTTACCTGCCCTTGCAGGGTGACTTCAG